TCAGGAGAATTCCAGGTAGAACACGGACATAGGTGGCCTTGTGCTAAATTCCAAAAAAGGTTAGGACACAGAGGAATAGACACCGTCCAGACATTACTTGCAAGACCACTTATCATACGCCCGGGACAACTATTGTTGTATCCAGCCAAAATGCATCCGTAAGGCAGCATCCAATAACGAAGAAAAAACGGCTGGCCTAAGATGATAAAACGGCGAATACAAGTGAGTCGGATTCAGAGGGATGTTAACTAAATGTGTCCAGGAAATGCCCAGATGCAAGGTTCGAAAAATAAGGTTCGGAAAGAATGCCGAAATATTGGGTGCATTCTTCTAAGAAGTTGAAAACGCTAGATCTGCACTAAACTAGTGCAGTCGGGCCCAGACGGAAAGAGGTTAAGTTTAGAAAGTTTGGATTTCTATATGGAACCTTAAACAAGGGCGATAGTCCAGGTATCAAGTCCAGATACCAAGCGCACGGCGACTGTTTGGTAGCTGCATGCATACTGCTTCAGCGAGAAGGGCGTGGACAGCGTCAGCCGCGTGCCGACCCCCGAATGGTTAGCCAAGTGACAAAATGCATGAACAAAACGACTGGAGGGCGGAGAGATTGAGCGAAACCCAGCTTGACCCCAGATGCATACGTACACATGAACTTTCAGCCAGTTCGCGCCGGCATCCAGAAGGGGAATACTGCTGAACACGCTATCTTTACATATGCGTGTACTGGTGTGATAGTTGCAATAACACAGGTAGGAAAATAATCTACCAAGGACAACTTAAAAAGGAGCTACTACATCTGTGCCATGTGTACCGGAATTTCACTGTCTCCATAATTGAAAACTTTGAAGCCAACTAGGTCCGCTGTACCAGGAGTTAAACGGATTTAACGGAGACATGGCAGTGCAGCGTCGTCCATTTACGCGGATGATTTATCACTACAGAATTGCATGCATTCATATGAGAGTGGGCTCTTTCATAACTTGGGGTACAAAACAGCCACAGAGTAACAACGCAGTTACAAATACTTTTGGCGCGGCGCACGTATTCCTAAGGCGGTCTGCGCATAGAAACTGACGACGAGGTGCTTATGAAAACGGGTCGGACACGAATATGTTTAACTCTCCCCACCAAAACAACAATTATGGCACAACGCTATTTCTGACGCGGCAGTGGTCGTAAATTGTAGTCTTTTAAAAACAAACAAAAATGGTATTTTAGCAGCCTGTTGAGTTTTATGCATTAAAAACACTGATGGAGGATAGCTGAGGGCACACATATCAGTACCCCACGAGAAAACGTTACATGCAAAACCCTATGATTAAAGGAAGTGGAGTGTTGAGAAAAAAAGGTACGGATAAGAGCCCTGTTTGGAGGAAATCCTATAAAACAAGATGGAGCAGAAACATATTAAGTGAGAAGACTGTCCACGGCTTCTGGTGGTAAGTCTGCGTGAATTCTCCAAATTGGATCACCTATTTGTCGACGAGTTTATGACGCTGAAGACAATAAAGATATAGAGTGCAGTTACTAAGGAAACTCTGTTCCAACCCGGAAGAAACGACTCGCCAGCCAGTTCTTGTTATAAAGTCCAGCCTTTGTTTCTTAATAAACCAAACCCATGAAATGGGCAAGTTGCCTATTCATCTCGTTAGATCTGTTTGAGGTTTGAACTTTTGTCTGAGTAGCATAGACTTAACCATTTCATATGATAACACATCATTTGATTATCACAGAAAGATAACTTATTAACAAAATATTGAGGTGACGACGGACGGGAGAACAAGGAGAGCAAAAGAGAGGCAACAATTAATTTTTCCAAGTCTTCAAATGCCAGTGAAGATTTAAACCATTTACAGTTATCAATATGAATTTGAAGGCAGGCAGACATCCCAAGAAATATATTATGAAAGCAAGTAGGTACTTTGAGAAAATATAGGTAACTTTGCTGGATGAAATTTCAACGCTGGTTCCCCAGGGTCATTGTCAGACTTGAACGTAACGGGTTGCAAGAATGCAGTTCTAAGCATACTGATTATGAATAAAAGAGATACCTAGTAAACGTTCATTTCCCTCCTAAATACTCTGGCTCAGCTGCAGTGAATGGCATGGATAATTTAGCATTAAAGTGGTAGGTCTTACAGCTATGGTGATTGGCATTTGAAAGGCATATTCGAGTTGGAAAGAGGAGGCAGGTGGGGGGGGGGATGGGCAGAGGAAGGTGCACAGCAACAGGACTCACCAGCGAGGAGACGATGAAATCCCGACTGATTAGTTCGATGCTCAGGCGATCTACAGTGCGCCGGGTATTACAGAAGATGACGGACTGGACGACGGGCATGGACTGGTAGATGTCCCACAGTGTGTCCAGCTTCCACTCTTCGCGTTCTACGTTGACGTAAAACTGGCAAATACCCTCAAGGGTGAGCTCCTCCTGTTTGACCAAAATTCGCACTGGGTCTCGCATAAAGTTCTTGGTCACCTCTAGGACCTCACTGGGCATCGTGGCTGATAGGAGGATTACCTGAAAAACATCGTAGGAGAGAAGTCAGTAAAATAACGACATGCCAGATATCAGCTCTGATCAGGCTGCAGAAAGACTCGGAAGAGTTATATACAGAACTGGGGCATCAAAAAGTCACCGAGCTCTTGTGTCGAGGAGAGTGACCGTGGTAAGCTACATTAGGCACACATGAGCTTTTTGGAAAGACGTCGGAAAATATAATATAATACAAATAAAAAGTATTGATTCGAAAGTTTGACACTGTACGGTTGCCTCTCAACCGCAACAGAAAAGAAGGATGACGTCGACCAGATAAAGACTCAGTAGAAATTGGCAAGAAACGATGAGACAAACTTACAAAGAAATCCATAAAATCACCTTAGACACCTTCTAAGGGAGGCTAGTGGGATTTAAAGGCGGTATATGGCAAATGTGGCACATAAAGTGACAGGAGTCTTGGTTTAAGAGACAATACAACCTGAGATATACAAAAAGATGGTTGTGTGGACGCATTTTGAGGGTGATATATGCCTGCGGTGCTCTTCGACACAGTTTCGACCTTGATGCTGCTGTGTGCATGTAAAAGTCTTCAAGGACCAATGTATGCCCATAGTGAGCGTTGATAGCGAGGAAACGTGGGAAATTGTTGCACAGCGCGTTCCAGTTTCGCATCCTTGTCGATTTTATTGCCCACTTGTACTCAGTCGGCTTCGAAGTTCATGCTTTACGGCAGTTTATCCCGTTGGCCAATCTGATGCAAAACTTCTCCTAGGCTCAGTGTTAATTGCGAGGCATTTGAATGAAGTTTTCATAATGGGCTTGTCGGCAGGAATCAGTATCAACGTCATCACTACACGGTTTTCTAGACAGATTCCCATTCAATATCTTCTCAGGGCGATCGCTCCACCGCAGTTGAATTTA